TCATCTATATTCTACTAAAACTCTTGTGTCTGCAACCTCTAAATTGCAAAAATCATAGACCGAAACTTTTTCAACCAAGGTATCTCAAAGGGGCTAACTTCCAGAAGGCATCCAAAGCCTGGAATCCAGGACTCCCGTGTACAGGTTGTCCTCAAATTATGCCCATAATTGAACCCAAAATTTCTGCTGCTAAGTGAGTCATTTGTTAAGTGGGTTTTGCTCCATTTTATGACCTTTTTTTGTCAGTGTTGTTAAGCGAATCGTTGCAGTTGTTAAGTTAGCAACCCGGTTATTAACTGAATCTGGCTTCCCCCATTGACTTTGCTTGTCAGAAGGTCGTAAAAGGGGATCATTGGAGTCTGGGATACGGCGAGCGTCATAAATGAGGCAGTTGCCAAGCCTTGGAATTTTGATCACTGTGAGGGTCGTGTGAAAAACGGTCATAAGCCTTTTTTTTCCAGTGCTGTTGTAACTTTGAACGGTCACTAAAGGAACTGTTGTAAGTCAAGGACCACCTGCAATTGAGTTTTATGAAACATTTTGGGACCTAACTTTTTTTTCATAAAGCATTTTAGGATATAATGCAAAATATGTCATAAAACGTTTCCGGTGGTCAGTTCTTGAGGTTTGACCATGCTAGACAGTTCAACATGGGCTACTTTCAAGAAAGATTATCTCCCTGAATTTTTAAGAATTTTTCAAATACCGTTTCCCCCAAAATACGACCTACCGGTACCCTGAAAGTAAGTCCTAGCTTGATTTTTACACGTGAGCCCAAAATAAGCCCTAATTAAGATCCCACCCATGCCAGTGTGGACAGGTAAAAATTAAGCTCGGGTTGGGATGAGGAGTGGTGGAGCTGCCCTACTACTTATCTTTGGACAGTTGTAGCCAGGCCTCGCACACCCTGACACCTGCCTCGCCGGCCGGCAAGTCTTTTCTGAAGGCCTCTGTAGCTGATAACAAAGCTCTGGATCGATCCAGAGCTCCCTTATTGGCTTCAGAGGCCTTCAGGAAAGCCTTGCTGGCTACGGAAGTTCCTGAAAGCCTCTGACAATAGCGAGGCTGGGGACAATGTGCGTAAGTGAGTTTAGTCAGTGGATGACATCCCCCACCATATTTTCTGGTGGCAGAAAATATATGACACGGTCTTATTTTCGGGGAAAACACGGGTACGTTAAAAGCTCTGCTTTCCTTGTGAAGGCATGGAAAATCTGGTTAAGGGAGTATCTCTCAAACAAGGAGCGCCCAGGTCCCAGATTGTGTAGTATGTTCTATAACCCATTTTGAAAATATAACCAGGAAAAAAAATGCACTTGGAAAATGATGTTGCAATTGATGCAGGTTTAATGAGAAGTTAAATTCAATCTAGATTCAATTAGACTGATTCCTCAAACATAAAATGAAAGAGTTTTCACAATTTCCCCCCCTTTCAAATTAGTTCAGCCACTTGCTCAGCAAAAACATTTTGACAATTCCAAAAAAGTGGAGAGATCACGCAAACCCCCCCCCCCCCCCCCCCGGATCATAACTTGTCCATAGTTTAAATAGTTAATTTAAACAGAAGTACTGTTTCAAGATGCATCTTGGCAGTTTGGTTTCAGCACAAATTTGAGAGAGAGAAAAAAAATCCTAATGGGGGGGAAATGAAATATCCACATTCAGCAACTGTTGAAAACATGTAAAATTATTTCACTATCAGAGCATGTCTTCCTGCTACTTCTGATTATGATTGCTTTCACGTCTCCTCCAAACCCATATCACATTTATTTATTTACTGAACTATTACTTTATTTTTTTCTCCTTTGGCTCTGATGCAAGCGATTTGAATCTCCCAAACATTTACTTACGCTAGACCGAATTGCGAATAATTTCCTGTATATTTCTACATGCAAAACTATCTTGACCAAATGCTAAGCCACAGCATGTAAAAGCAGAAACTGAGACAAATACTAGACTTTTTATACTTGCTTTTACTAGGCAATGTAAAGGCAATTAATGCAACTAATGTGTAATTAAATATATCTTTTTATATCTTACTGTTATGTGTACTCTGTGTGTTGGATATTAAAGTGAATGTAAACAGATAGATTATCTGTGTCCTGTCCTTCTCTATTTTACAGTAGGCGAGTGGGTTGTTTTTTTTACTTACAAAAGAAACGATTAAAAACTCTGATTCATACCTTCAGCCATTTGAATCTCTGTTTCAAAATAATAGGCATTGAGCATTACTCATGAATGTTTTGTTCAGCTTGTTTAAGAATTTTGCATTTCTCAGGCTTTACGTAAGGGCTTTCAGTAAGTTAAAATAAAGACAATATATAAGAAACTTAATGTTATGAGAAGGCAACAGATTTTGTTATTTCTTCCATTCCAGCCTTTATTGCTGCTAAAAAAAACCACCTTTTTTTTTCTTTTTGTATTTTATCTTTCCTTGGTCTAAATTCAGATGTGTCCTTGTAAAACCTCATAGCTGATGACAAAGAGCTTCTTAAACTGATTCCAGAATGTGGAAAAAAATAAAGCATTATTCTTTCCTATGCTAGATGATAGATAGATAGATAGATAGATAGATAGATAGATAGATAGATAGATA